CAAACTTTTTGCAAAACTGGAAAATCTTATGAAGGAGGGGCACAGATTTGGTTGATCTCAGTGAGGATGACTGCTTTGAAAAATTTCTCGTCATTATTGATTCATCTGTTACGTGAAGTTTTCTAAAATCATCCACTTTATTTTGCATCAAACTCTTCAATTTTTAATTTAATAAAAAAATTTTTCCTTCTAATGGGTTGGAGATTTTTGTTTTTTGTAGACTTATTCCAAATTATCAGTTGCTTTAAAGGTAAGTATTAGAAGTTGTTTTATTGTTCGAATTTGTTTTTTGTTCGAAGCACTACCCATAAACCTTCACGCATCCATGTAAGAAATTTTTGTGTTCTTATATTTTCAATTTCTTAACATCGTTTCACCTTCACGCACGAGCTGTATACATATACACCTATACATCAACCTATGCAATGGACTGCGTCAGAAGCAAATGCGAGCAGTTCATATCTGTTATATTCGTTTGTTCCACTTGCATGTTTCTGACTTTTAAGAAATTTTGATATCCGTGCACAATATTGCCATCATAATTTTTATATTTTCTGTTTTTACACATTGTAAAAGACCATCTCATCATTGTTTCACTTCCTCCTTTTTCATCATTATACTATTAAAAGGCAAATATAAATGAGAATCATTTCCACCTGTTCATTTTCACATGATATGAAATTGTTTACTGAATGGATGTCTTATTATTCAAAAGTCGGTAATTTAAAATGGCTTTTACGGAATTCGAATCTTATTCATGGCATATATATATATATATATTTACTTATTTATTCATATTTATATTTATATTTAGCATTAACCATATGAATAATTTTTACCTTTATTTTATATTGTAATGCATTAATGATTAAAGGTAATTAATTTGAAGTAATTTCAAATGAACAACGCAACAACTGTAACATTTGATATATTAAGGAAGTTCTTTGTATGTGTTTATTTTGGGATACCTTCCTTTTATATTCATGTATATTGTTCTGATATCATATATCTCTGTTGGTCATCACTTCTTTGTTCGCATCAATTTCAAATCTTTCCTGTAAATATCAGATTTTGGAAATTTCAGTTCTAAATTCAAGTGAATTTTTCAGGGTTTCGAAACGTGTCCGATCAATTCTCATGAATATATCACAGACTTCGAATGTACTGGTACGGATAAATACCTTATTCATGAATCCATGCTTTCGTTCTATTCCGGTCATTCTGCTTTCAGCTTTTATGCGGCATGGTATACAGCGGTGAGTTTTCATTTGTGAGTGCATTAAATGTGATAACTCAATTCTATCAATGCAAATACGTGTGCACAAATTTTGTTTGCGTTTTAAATATCGTGCCAACGAGTTGTGGCGTTCTCCTTAAACCAATTTTCAAATTTCTCGCAAAAATTGTTTTAAACAATGGATTCAACTTTGCAGCTTTACTTGCAAGCTCGGTTATATCGACCATTGTTTAGTCGCTTACTTTTACCGGTGATCCAATTTGCCTTATTTGGTGGCGCTGCATTTGTAGCTTATACTCGGGTTAGCAATTACAAGCATCATTGGTCGGATGTGTTGGTTGGCTCATTGTTCGGTTCTGCAATTGGCATCACTGTGGTTATTCCTTGTTTCTTTTTTATCAAATCATTATTTCATTTCCGTTTCGAAAATAAGTTAACCAAAGTTACGTTTTGTTTTTGATTGTCTTAAATCGGATCCTGGTATTATGATATTTCGTGTTTAAGTATAAGGTATGAGGAATGTGGTCAAGTACGATCAGTGTTAATCAATTCGGTTTTATTCCTTAAAAGTTAAAATAAATATCAGATGTAAATTTAGGCATTATTTGTTGCGGAAGTATTTTCACGTCGTGAGATACCATCGTGTGATGCTCATTATTGCAAACGTGAATTTGGCTTGACAACTGAATTAGAACGAGCTGTTCCATCATCAGACGTGGAAACCGGAATGACAAATGTTATACGAGCTGATGGACCAGCTAATCGTGCGCAGTTTGCCACTTCTCACAACATTACTGTAACTGGAGTGACGGCACCAAATGTGAATGAAGTCGGAAATAATCAAATGGCTCTGTTATCTCGCCCAACATCAGGGAACCAGAGATTGTAAGCGCTTGTAATGCTTCATCGCCCAGCGGTAATAAATCTTTGTAAGTTCGCTGCATTAATTTTTCTCTCCGCTTGTAATTCCTGTTAAAGCTTAAATATCGTCCTTATTTATTTGTTTGTTTACTTGTATTGTGTTCATTTGCTCTCCCTTTAGCACTTCATTGCGCGAATAACACGATACAGTTCATTTGAAAAAAAAAAGGCATGGATTACTCATTGTCTTATCAGTTAAACTTCTTGGATTCCCTGTTGATTTATGAATTTCACACTTCTATGATCTGATTTGTTTTTCTGTCTTTATTTGTCAAATTAATTTCAAAATGTCAAAAAGTAAATTTAAATTCATTTTTTCTGTGCGTCTCTCGTTACTTTATCTTTATCGGGCTAAAAAGCATCACTTTAAAAATCTATGTATTCCCAACTTTATTTTCAACGATACTATAGCCAAAAATTTACCTCCATTGGTTGTGTCTGTTTCTTCTCATTTAGTGGCTTCAAATCTTTTTCCTACTCTCAATTGCATGAATTATAAAAGACCGTTACTGATGGGTTTGGTGTTCCTGAATTCAACAATATCCTCCAGCTGACTATTTCCAGATTCCTTAAACGTGTAGTGCATGCGACATCAGTGTGGGAAGTTTATCATGTAGAATAGTGGAATATTGTTTTTCTTGTGTTTCTTCAACACTTCTAGCTCGATTGCAATTTACGATTCACCACTGACATTATATATATATATATATATATATCAAGTCTAACTTTGAAGGGCTGTATCACTCTTTATTCATGTTTTTTATTCATGTTTTCATCAATTTTACTCGTTTATCACTGTAGTTATCACCGCTACAAACACGATTAATACGTACGGCGGCAGCAAAGTGGCATTTATCAGATACTGTTATTCGAAATAGACCGCATTACTAGGATTGGTCGATTGACAGATTTTGACAGATTGACAGCTTCAAGGTTGCTTTCCAAAAAATGAATTTTCATGCTTTCTAACACTGCATGTATTATATAATGTTTAAATGGCTTAAAATTCGTGTTCATTTGTTGTGTGATTGTAATGTGTCGATTTTAATCAGCCATCTTTGTGGCCTTTGTGTCGAACAGGAGAAGTTAGCTAGAGCGAAATGGTTTCTGTATGTAGCACTAAATTTCTTAAAGCTAATGTGGTTGACAGAGAATTTAGTATTCCTTGAATGCTGTCGGCTTCCTTCCAACATATTGTTTGCTGTTTAATTGTCATTCATCGGTCAACAGCAACTCCATCAGTCAACAGCAGTTATGTTAAGCTATGTATAAATTATAAATCATTTGATGCAAATGGTTTATAATGAATGTACGAAGAATCTCTTCTAACAAAATCTCTTTTATTGTATTTTTCTACATTAATTGTAAAACTTGCAATAAATTCAAATGTTTGTAATTGCCGTAATATTTCCCACAACTTTTCAGTCCGAAATGTCTTTTAAACCAAGGATATAAAGTACTACTTTCTTTGGCGTCGTTTTTTTTTTCCCTTTATGAGCAAAAACTATTGCGAACAACAGTCTTATTTTTGAGTTTCTTCTAAACCAATATACCAAGGGTATATGTATTTAAATATTCTTATTTGTACCTATATTTGTATTTATATTTGTATTTATTTGTCCATTTATGCATTCATTTATTATTTATGAAAGCATATATTGTGAAATATTTTTGGCATATTTGAATATTCTTGCATCTCTATCTTAATCTTCTTTGCTTTTGTACCATACTCTATTCTTTTGCATTTTTTTCTGAGACAGTATTCTTTACAGTGTTAGTTTCCAATATGTATCCATTAATTCGCTTCATATGTTATTTGTTTTCCTGAGTAATTATTTTTCGGTGACATTGATATCTTTTCTATCTTTTTGCTTTCATATCTTTTTGCTCTCCGCTCTTTTGAGACCAGTTAACATATAATTTATATTTTCTAGCTTCATTCTGTTTTTCCTTACAAATATATGCTATATGGCATAAAATATGATACATGCAAATGTGAAATGAAATGCAAATGTTTTGCTAACAATAAATTTTTGGGAATATTTCATTTCATCATCAGTTGATAGAAAAATATTGATAATTATTCACTGGATTTGCCAACATATTACTTTTAATTTTTGTCATTATGGGTGTATTTCTTTCCATAATTTGCAAACCATTTAATTGCAACCACTTAACTCTTTAAAAAAAAAAAATGCTTCTTGTTACTTTTCATTTACCATCGATATATCAAAAGCTAGTAGTCTATACATTGCGCATTTTATATTATTGCAATGAATGAATAATTATAGAATCCTTTCGCCTAATTTCAATTTTTTCAACTGTTTGTAGTTTGATTCAATGAAGCTATTTTATGACTGGTTGTAAGTTGTCCCTAGAAAATCATGAAATATATGGAGATTCTTTGATTATCATGATAAATTAGCGCAGTCAATTAACTTTGTTTTCGAAAGTTGTTAGAGAAATTTGTGCGTCGTATCTGCATATTTGAAATTTGTGCATAGTATCTGCATATTTCCTCTTTTAGTAAGTGTCGGAAAGATTGCTGTTTATGTGTAATGACTAAATTGACTTAAAAGGATTAAGTTATTGCTTTTGTAATTTTGTTTCGTCTCCTTTTTTTGACGATAAAAAGAATGAATTTGCTGTTTGTATTTTGCAGCAATGAAGAGTTTCCTTATCTGATGATTTTAGATTAGGTAATGATCAGTAATGAATTGTAGGATAGATCAGCGTCAATTTATTTGAAATTAAATAACTGAATTTGAAGTTTTACGAAGACACTTGTTTTGTATGATTGAAAAAGACTGATGCAATCGATGCAGTCATAAAGTATAAGAACTTTAACTATTCGATTAAAATAACCGGCTTAATAAAAATCATCCACAGATCAAAGTAGTTTTGATCATTTTTGGACTTCCTGAAAACTTTTTGACTTCTGATCAAGAAAAAAAAAGAAAGGAAGATTGCAAGAAATTTGTTACAGTAAGGAATACATTTCAGTCACTCTTCTGCATCGCTATATTCATTATCAATGACCGCTTCCTATTATTCGGCTTATGCGGATTTGGAATCATTAATGTCAACATCAAGCTGTACATCGTGCGATTATTACAGTGCTCTCTCACATACAATCATGCCGTACGAAGTGACCTAAGAAGTGTCACCATAATCCTTATAAACTAAAAGTGTCTCCCAAATTACTGTTAATTTGTATTTATCAAATTTTGCAACTTTAGTTTTGTATACATAAATTTCGGAATTATATTTGATGAATTCAATAGTATATTCGTTATAATTTCCCTAATTTCAAAATTTTACTCGCTACAGTTTTCTCAATTACTTTGCATAATTCAGATTTAATCATTTTATACTATTTTACAAATGTTTATCAAAGATCATATCCATGTTTGGCATAAGGACAAAAGGTCATAAGAGGGTCAGAAAGGTCATAAGCAAAAGGGTCATTGTTTGGCATAAGGGTCTTTGTTCTTAGCGAGAACAATTATATTACTTTGCCGTGGTATGAATTCAATTTTAACATTAACCATGAAAGATATCAACTATATTGAATTTATTCATTTAAACCTTATTAATTGTTTTCAAAAGTCAATCGAAGTTTTATTTTATTTTTGAACCATGTTCTTTCAATCGTATACTTTTTTTTTATCTGTTAGATTAAATGCTATGTTAATTCATACTTTCAGATAGTATTTTATTGGTGCTTTTTTTTTTTTTTAAATCATTCATAATGGTACAATCATTTTATAATCTTTTCGTATTTCCTGGCTTTTCTAAATTGCCATATATTTACAGTCATATACATCCTGGCTAATTTCGAAATTTCATTAAATTAGCATGAAATTTGATTATTTGAAGGGACGGTATCAGAACCTGAATTTATATGTTATCTTCAAATGTTATACGATGTTGTGGAAATATCTGCGATATAATTCAAATATTTAAAATTAACAAATTTTTGAAATTTCCAGAAAATTAGCCTTTTTTGTTGAAACAATGATAATTGATTTCTGCATAAATGAATAATGAATAAGGTTAGCATTAAATATGTTCAGGCTCTGATATCCCATTAAAAATATACCATTTGTGGTATCTGTGAATTTTTGTAATATTATCCTTTTTGCATCGTTGATTTAATTTTTTCATCGTAAGAAAAAACAAAATCAATAATTCTATAATTTTAGATAATCAATAATTGTCATTTGTGTTAAATCTCATTACCTTACTTTAAATCATAAGTTGTTTGATTGATTTGATTTTATTGATGGCTGATATTATTAAATAATATGTTCCAATTTCCAATCAACAATACTCATTTTTTGTTACCTGTTGAAGTAGTCATTTGCTTATCGTTTTCATCTGATATCATTTGATTGTGTGATTGTTTTTATTAATTGTAATAATTGATGAAAAAAATAAAGAAGTTTTTGAAAGAGAGTTAGAATTTCGAAACGAATTTCTAGTACTTAAATAGTGGGAAGTTTTTTAAATTTAGTGAAGAAGAAGTATTTCATTTCATTGTCTTACAATGATCATTATTCATTTCTTTTTTTTAAAATTTTATTATATGTGCTTGATTGTGTTTATTTGCTCATACACATAACACACTAACTTTTCGTTTTCCTTTTGCTTAAAATAACACTTAATTAGCCATAAATTTGTAAAAAAGAAAAGAAAACGTTGCGCTTTTTTCTCTATTAAGAAAAAAAGTTAACCAAAATGCATCATTTCTCAAAATTATCGCTTAAAATTTTTTTCTTTTTTGACCATCGTTCAATTATTAAACTTTTTGTAGATATTGCATTTTATTTTTTTTATTAATTTACGAAGTGTAAGTTTTCTGAAGACAGTGGAACACATATCATTAGTAATTAATGAACTATAAAAAGAGAGATGTTAAATGTAATTAATTTTCATTATAGGGAAATGCACTATTTCAAAGGATACAAGTATACAATGGCTAGGAGAGATATTTATTGATGATAATGCATTCAAAATTATTTGGAAAATGTCAGTG